TAGGAGGCAGAGACCCCAGAAGGTCTCACACGCCCGACGTGCCAAACCCGCGCTCGGTGCAGGAAAGGCAAAGACCTCCCCAAGGTCTCACGCCCGACGTAATACCAATTGCGCCCGGCGCCACCTCTGGCAGAGACTCCCAAGGAGTCTCCATGCCCGGCGAGACAAGGTCATGCCCGGCGCAACACCAGAAAATCTACAAGTAATGTCACTTACTAATATCATGCCCAGCGCGGTCCAACCACACCCAGCGTGGGCCATCCAGAGGCTCACATTCTCAAGCTCGCCCTCTGGTGGTCACGCGCCCGACGCCAAGAACTGCGCCCAGCGTGATACCCAACAGCAACTCACCAAGTTCAAAATCTTGCCTAAAATCCTGCAAAAATCAACATTTCCAGCACATGCAAACCAGCCAAAGTGCCACATTTTCACCAAACGGCTAAAAAATACCATCTTTTTCAACATGCAACCACAAATAAGAAAAATCCCAAGTTTTCACCCAAAACCCCGAAAACCCGAAAACGAATTTTCTTCACTCTCAGCCATCAATCATCCAGAAAATCAACCACAAATGAGTTTATGAACACATTTCCAACACAATCAGCCAAAGACCTAGCTTCCCTTACCTCGGTACGAAGATTCTAAGCTCCGGAAAGAAGAAAAGCTTGAACAGAGAAGAAATGGAGAAGAAGGAGAAGCTTGAGAAAGCTTCGCACGGCTCAACAAGAAATCCAACACCTACTCAGCACCTCTACCTAATGGTTCCAGAGAAACGAAATCAAGGCAAAGAGAGGAAAGAAGAAGGTGTGAGAGAATGATAGAGAAATTGAGGAAGAAAAGTGAGAAAAGGGAGGGAGAGCTGCGGGTCTCACAGGTAGTGTATGAATGATTAACTCATATATATACATATATGAGGGGAGTTATAATTACACCGGTGTAACTTTTATCAAGTGTTATACCACTCAATAACTTTATATTAAATGTGAATTTTGTAAATCCAATCGTTAGATTGAAAGTTCATATCTCTTAGATAATATATACAAAATTTTATATTAATTCAAGATGATTTGATACTTCATTTTTATAAAAAAAAATTGACGTAATATATTCATTTCAAAATTAAATATACTAAAATATGAACACTTTGATCACCTTCAAATTGTTGTTCAATTTTAACAAAATTTGATATACACATATAAAGTGATATGAACTTTCAATATAACGGTTGAATTTACAAAATTCATAATTAATATAAAGTTATTGAACGGTATAATACTTAGTAAAAATTATATCGATGTAATTATAACTCTCACACACACATATATATTAATAACTTTATATTAATTGTGAATTTTGTAAATCCAACCGTTAGATTAAAAGTTTATATCTCTTAAATCATATATACAAAATTTTATATTAATCCAAGATGATTTGATACTTCATTCTTATAAAACAAAATTGACGTAATATATTTATTTTAAAATATACTAAAATATGAACATTTTGATTACCCTCAAGTTGTTGTTCAACTTTAACAAAATTTGATATACACATATAAAGTGGTATGAACTTTTAATCTAACATTTAGATGTACAAAATTCACAATTAATATAAAGTTATTGAGCGGTGTAACACTTAGTTAAAGTTACACTGGTATCGTTTGAACCCTCATCTATATATATATATATATATATATATATATATAAGTGTATAATTATTTATATTTAACACTTTCAATAATTTTAATATATTATTTTATTATTTTGACCTCCATTTTTCGTATGGATCTTAGATTGGGGCTGAGGTTATAATTTAAGTGAACTTTTTAAGATGAATCCGACGGACGTGTAACTTATAAGATTAACATGTCACATTTTTCAGATTCCAAGCAATGTTTGAAATCTCTGAAACGTATATTGTTTTCAATTGCATGTGGTTGACTTCCAAATCAGCGAAAACCTAAACTGCATGTGCCCTCAGCGTCACACTGGAAACAGAGCTACTGTGTGTACGCAGAGTCACCACATGTAAACTTTCGTCTCACTCTTGGAATATGGCAAAACAGAAGTATATATTTATTTATCTTAATTTTTCATTTTAAATTCTTAATGTAATTTTTGTTGTCTCTCAAGATTATATTGGATTTAAGATTTTTAAAATTTATTTTTATAATATAAGAATTTAACTTATTCTTAATTCACTTTATGTAGACTAGTAAGTTAATTTTTTTTTGTATTTATATATTTTATTTAATAAAAATATTTAAAAATTATTAATATTTATTAGATCAATTGATAGTGTACTTGATTTTCAAATTTTAAAATCTTAAATTTAAATCTTATATTCATAAGAATAATTTTTCATATTATTCTTTATTATTTAAAAATTAAAAAATAAAATAATCTTAAAAATATGTATATTAAATAAAACTATCATTTATCTATCTATATATAATTTTATTATAGATTACATACTAGATCACACCTTTTCTAAAACTCTCCAAGAACAAGTTGTATGCAATATAAACTTTGACTTTTAAAATTTTTAAAGTGGAACAACTTGTTTTTGGCTAATATATAATTATAAATATTTTATAAGAAATTAATGCTAATATATTTATTAGATTAATTTGAATTTTTATAACTACCTTCTCTTTACAATCAATGTTTGACCTTGTTCCAAATCTCACCTTTAATATTAATTTTCATCATTTTAATATTATATATATATATATATCCTCCATTTGATTTATTTAAATTTCTATTTTTACATTTATTTATAAAAGAGTCTGTTTAATCTTTTAATTGTGATATTTGTCAAATTTTTAGGCAGTATCATGCATCATTTTTATCTAGTAATAATAAAAGTATTGTATCTTTTAATCTTGTTCATTCCAATGTATAGGGACTTGTCATTAAATATATTTCTAGAGCTAGATGGTGTGTAACTTTCATCGATGGTTGTACCATTCTGACATGGACTTACCTTATGAAGCACAAATCCAAGGTTTGTCAAATATTTGTCAATTTTTTTCGTCTTATCAAAAATCAATTGGTAAGACTATAAAAAGAATTTGGCCAAATAATGAAATTAAATATGTTAATCTTGAGTTTTCTAAGTTTTTTACAGAGTAATATGTTATCCATGAATTAACCTGTTTGAATACTCTCCAATAAAATGGAGTCGCAAAAAGAAAGAACTGTCACCTACTTGAGGTTGTTAGAGTTCTACTTTTTCATATGTATGTTCGTAATGTCTACTGGGAAGAAGTTGTCCTAATTGTCACTTATCTCGTTAACATGTTACTCACTTATGTCTTACAAGATATTAGTCCATTTGAATACATGTTATCATTTTTCTCTTCCTCTCCCCTATTATTAAGTCTACCATGTCGTGTGTTTAGGTGTGTTGCATTTGTTCATTCTCACAATCCTCATTGTGATAAGTTAGACCCAAGAGTTGTCAAATATGTCTTTATTAGTTACCCCCTCTAATAAAAGGGGTACAAGTGTTGTCACCTTTAAAGTTGTCATTTTTCTTATTCAAAGGATACCACATTTCATGAAATCGTATCCTTCTTTGTCAACCCTCAACTTCACGGGGGACTATTCTAGAAGTTGAGCTTGTTTTTGGATCATTAACTCTTCCTTCCTTGCTTGCATGATGTTCAAGATACTAATCTTAAAGAAGCACAAGAAGATCACAATGATGCAAAACAAACAAAGGAAGATCACAATGATGCAAAAGAAACAAAGGAAGATTGCAATGATGCAGAAGAAGAATATTTGATTCTTTGTAAAGAAATATGAAAGCTGAAAGAAACCCACTCTACTCCCATAGAAAGTTGAATTGTTAGAACCAGAGGTAAGTGTTCCTAAGGATGATAATGATGATGAGAAAGTTACAGATGACATGCATATTGCCTTGAGGAAAGTGAAGAGATCATGTATGAGAGGTATCCTATTTCTCAATTTATTTATACTGACCATTTGTTTGTTCAGTATTGAAATTTTATTGCAGCCATTGATGTAATCAAAACACTTGTGTCAGACTAAGGAGCTTTGACAGATAGAAATTAGGTTAAAGTCATGAATAAGGAGATGAAGGCATTAGCAAGAAACTCAACTTGGGAAATTGTTAATAAACCCAAAGATAAGAAAGTTGTTGGGGGTGTAGATGGATATACAAAGTGAAATGTAAATCTAATGGGACATTAGATCGATAAAAGACAATATTGGTGGCCAAGGAGTTCACACATAATGGTATTGATTATAAGGAGATATTTGCTCTTATATAAAAAATGAATACATTAAGAATCATTCTTCCTCTAGCTACCCACTTTGGTTGGAATCTACGAAAATTTGATGTTAAGAATGTCTGAAAATATGGAGGAGGAAGCCTACATGGAGATTCCCCTAAGATTTGAATCTCATGGTAGAAAGAACAAAATGTGTTAGTTGAAAAAGCTTTTATAAAGCCTCAAACAGTTTTCTCGAGTATAGTTTAGAAGAATTCCTAACTTTTGTATTTTGTACATTATCTAATATTCTTATTTATAATAATAATAAGAATATTAGATAATGTACAAAATATATAATTAATATACAATTTTTTTTTCAACTCTATTATCATTACAATATCATTATTGCTATTTTTATATTAATATAATATATATTTGAATAATTAATATTAAAAAATTATCCATGTAAGTTAAACATTTTGTAGTATTTGTGATTGATTTCTCGTAGAAAATGAGGCTAGTATTATATCATGGTAATTGTGTGATAATTTGTTAATTAAACAACACGCATTTATAATTGGGAAAAATTTGTGGATCATGAATGTGTATGGATGACGTAAGATGAAATAGTTACCCTGAAAAGGATTTGGGTGGCGTCGTGCGTGTAGATTTGATGCAGGAGCAGTAGACAATTAATATTTGGATTTGTGGCTTCTAGACGTTGAAAAACGAGTCGTAAGAGAAGAAGTGAGGAAAGAAAAGGTGGCGAAGAATGGATAGATGGTTGTACTGATTAGTGATTAGTCAAAGCAGCAGCTAAGGAGATGGAAAGTTGAGTTCGCGGAAGCACCCTTTGTGTTGTGTTGTGCTACTCGCCACACCAGTAGTAACTCCATCCCCATTGGTCAAAATACAATACCATAAGCCTCTCTTACCTATCTTGATCCTCATCCTCAACCTGCCAAACATACCACACCATGAACCTCTTTCTCTTTCTCTTTCTCTTCCCCTCCCTCTCCCTCTCCCTCTCCGCCACGTGTCCCCTCAACTTCACCATCCTTGGCACCGAGAAGCCCTCCTCCTTCGACTCCTCCAAGTGCCCTGTCATAAAGCAGGCCTTCCGCCTCGTACAGTCGGACTACCTCCGGCGCACCGACCTCTTCCTCCCTCCCCAGAACGCCTCGGAGGCATGCTGGCAAAGTTTCCAGTCCTACGTTAACCTCTTCGACCCCACCTACGACATTCGCTCCTCCTGCGGCTTCCAAACCTCCTCCATCTCCCAAGGCTGCGCCAACGTCACCACCCGACAACAGTTCGAGTCCCTGGTCCCACAATCCACCCTCCAGAAGACGCGCACCCAATGCAACCAATCCCTCGAAAACAACTCCCCCTGCGCCATCTGCCTCACCTCACTCTCCTCCTTCCCTTCCTTCGGACAATCCCTCGCCAACCTCACCGACTGCACCGCCTACGCCTCCATCTACGCCGCCGCCTTCGCCAACCGCTTCGGCCCCGACGACCCCGGCACCGCCAAGTGCTTATTCTCCCTCGATTTCCCCTCCCACCACTCCTCCAACAAAAAAAAGATTCTTTTTCCTCTTCTTTCTCTTTTCTCCCTCCTCGCCTTCTCCCTCCTCCTTCTCGCCTTTTGGGCTTGTTGCAAGTCTCGCCGCAAAACCGACTCCGATAACAAGGATCTTCGTGTTGCCGAGATGGGTTTGGTTTCTGGACTTGATTCCATGGACCAAAGCACCACTTTGATTAAGTTCACCTTTGAAGATGTTAAAAAGGCCACTAAGAATTTCTCTAGGGATAACATAATCGGGAGAGGGGGTTACGGGAATGTCTATAAAGGCTTGTTGCCTGATGGGAGTGAGGTCGCGTTTAAGAGGTTCAAGAATTGTTCTGCTTCGGGTGATGCCAGCTTCACTCACGAAGTTCAGGTTATTGCTAGTATTCGCCATGTCAATCTTGTTGCCTTGAGAGGTTATTGCTCCGTCACTACTCGTTTAGAGGGTTACCAGAGGATTATTGTTTGTGATTTGGTCAAAAATGGAAGTCTTCATGACCATTTGTTTGGTTCCAATGGGGTGAGACTCAGTTGGCCAATTCGTCAGAGTATTGCTCTTGGCACGGCTAGGGGGTTGGCTTATTTGCATTATGGGGCTCAACCTTCCATCATTCATAGAGATATTAAAGCTAGTAATATACTTCTTGATGACAAGTTTGAAGCTAAGGTAGCAGATTTTGGATTAGCCAAGTTTAATCCCGAGGGGATGACGCATATGAGCACTCGGGTGGCTGGAACCATGGGGTATGTTGCTCCTGAATATGCTTTGTATGGGCAATTGACAGAGAGAAGTGATGTGTTCAGTTTCGGGGTTGTGCTTCTTGAGCTTTTGAGTGGGAGGAAGGCTCTTCAGATGAACAATGATGGTCAACCCTCTGCGTTGACTGATTGGGCTTGGTCGTTGGTTAGAACGGGGAAGGCTTTGGATGTTGTTGAAGATGGCATGCCACAGCCTGCTTCACCACAAGTTCTTGAGAAGTATGTGTTAATTGCTGTTCTTTGTTCTCATCCACAGTTATATGCTAGGCCAACAATGGATCAGGTTGTTAAAATGATGGAGACTGATGAGTCAGTGCCTTCAATTCCTGAACGGCCAATCCCTCTTGTTGCTGGGAGGCTTGATATTGAGAGATCTGTGAGCAGTAGTGGCTCGGGTCAGCTCTCTAGTCCAACAGGTTATCAGTCATATACTCTCGAAAGTGACCACCAATCTTCTAATTCTAGGGAAGACAGAAGCTCAAGCTCCAGGATTTTGAGTACAGATTGAGATTTTGGGTGTTGAGATAGTTTGTTTGTACATTTATAGCATTTTTGTTTGCACGACAAATTCAACTTGATCCACGTTTGTGAGAAGCAATAATAAGTAGCTTCTGCTGATTTTGGCCATTTGAACGTGGTGAGAGGATATTGATCTGCTTCAGTAAATTTGTTCCAAACATGTACTTAGATTATAGAATACTGTAGTGTATGCTTCTTGAAGAGTTTTCTGTTACAAAGCCAAATTGGATGTAAAAATATTTGATTTTTTCGAGTTTATAGGATGACAAGAGTATGATCAAGTTTTGCTAAATTAAGTGCCACATTGTAATATCAGAAACAATCTTCCAATTCATTTTAGAAATCTTCTAATGCCAGAAGGGATGTTTTCACTTTAAGCATTCGTGTGAGTTAACAATCTTCTAAATTTTTAAATGACTCCACGATTAAAGTAGAAAAAGGTACTAAAGTTTTAAAATTGATGTGGTATGATAGGATTCACCAAAAGTGAGATAATAATCAAAGAAAAGATGCACCATTACGATTGATCTGGCAGTTTGCTTTCAATGCTAATTGCAGTTTGATTTTGTCAACCCAGTGGAGAGGATAAGGGAAAGTTGGTGTAAGAGTGAAACAAGCATCTCATAGCCTAAAAACAAGAGAAGGTGGCATATGTCTCTCCAAAGCAAAGTGCACATGTTCCCTTCCCTTGTGTTGTGGGTTATCCAGGCTGCCTCTGTTTATGATGATTTATTGGCTTATTCTTTGTAACATGCCCAATTGGTTTTGACTTTTATTTTACTATATTATTATACAACCGAGCCTGAACTTCAAGTTCAACCATTATTATAACGGAGCTGGCAGAGTTATTAATATATCATAAAAAAAATAATATCTATCTATCTATATATGCAGTTTGCATGATTCGCGCAATCTAAGTGGCAATTAGGCTAGCAGTAGCAGCCGGACATGATGAATGATCAGAAATGTTTTTAAGATTTATTGGACTAACTGGGGATTTGATTGTGGTGTATTATTCTCTTTTTTCTTTTTTTGACGGGGAGGTGTTACTGGTCTAGAATTATTCTCGAATAATTGAAAATAACAAAACCTCTAATGTTGTGACCGAATTTATTCTCAAATTTCCAAATTCTAGAGAGTCAAAATGCCTTATTGAAATTATTAATTAAAGAAATTGAAGGGCATCATATTTTTATTGAAGTTATAGGGTACTAATTTGTTTTTCAAATATGAAACTTTGTTTTGTCTTTTCGGTCGTGATTTGAACAAGGGACAAACTCACTGCTTGAGTTCTACCGCAGCCAGGGACCAATGAGATCTTTGACGATTGAAACTTAACCACCTTAACCTTACTCCAAGCCAAAGAATCAAGTACTAGTGCATGAGCCTCATTTACATGCAGAGAAATGCAACTGACCTAAAGATCAAGATATTTGGTATGAATAATGGGATAAAACTTACATATAGTTTCTTTAAGTGGAGATAAAACTTCAATTCTATCAGAAAATAACATGATAATTACATAAACAATTGCATCTAAATTTTGTGCTAAACAAATTTTACTTGAATATTTTTGCTCTCTAAAAAAAATTTTCTTTTGAAATTAATCTTATTTGTATTTTATTTATTTTTAATCCTTAAAAATTATAATATTGCTCTTATATAACTCTAAAAATATATTGCTTTTATTGAATATAAAGATAAAAAAAAATTAAGAAAAAAGAAAAACATAATTTTGTTAAGAATAAAAAACATATTTAAACTAAATAAACTTTTAGCCATGACATGAATTATAAAACCTGTCATATAATCCTATCTGTGAACAAAATGTCCCTCTTATCATTTGGATGCCATGGTGGTGAGGTGACAGGCTCCTGGTCTCCTTCTTCACAATACTGTAGGTAGGATTTTATCATCCAAAAAGTATTGGGCTGTACTTTATAATGGGCTCAGTTTGGATGACAAATAAAGACAGTATTGGGCCAGAGGTGTTAATTTAATTTATTTTACTGAAAGAAAATATCATATTTCATTATATTTTAATTCCTTTAATTTAAAATGTGGGGATTGTAGTTTTAAGATAAGGAAGAGGAATAACATAATTTACAAAACTTTTAAAGGAAGAAAGTATAATTCATCCTTTATTTTAAATTTAATCTTTCATGTATAAGTCTTTTCACTTTTTTGAACTTCCTTTTCTATATCGTATCCATAATCAATATAGATATTAATATAATATAGAACACAAGTTCACATGTATCATTTATGGAAGATAATTATGTTCGAGTTAGATAATACTTCTATAACAACAAAATTCTCCTTCCAAGTATTTATTACAATTACATATCTAAGACTTTGAGATCACTTATTAAGTTAGAATAATCTTATATCAATTGATCTACATGGACGATTGTCAAATTCAATATCACTTGATACATAAAAATCATCCTTCCTGATATTTTTAGTGAATATTTCCCTATTCTTAGAGGTACCAGAATAATTGAATAAGGGTGCAGTTTTTTTATGGGATAATTCTGTTTACAAATGCATTAATAAATTTGATTATAAACTAAATTATTATTAATTAGAAAACCACGATAGTAAATAATATAAACTAGTGAAAGTGTGAATCCATTCTAGATTTGTGTTAGAAATGAGATTCTGCTCTCTTGTGAAGAAGATGGGAAAGTGGTCCCTGGAAGTGAAGTTGACCTAAAAGGACAGAAGTGGATCATGAGTTATTTATGAGGCTTTGTAGAATATGCCAAAGCTGGACTTATCATGGGAGAAACATGAATGCCTTTAAATTCTTGGGATCAGGGTTTTAACTGTCTCTTAACTGCAGTATTCAACTCCTTGGCCTTATCTTGAATCAAGATAACATTCACCTGTACAATATTAGCGTAAAATTTTTTTATACTATCAACCAATTAAATTTTTTAATTATGCCATTAAAAATAAATGTGTTTATAGTGATATAGAATAATTAAAAGATCTAATTAATTACCGGTGTAAAAAAATTTTATACTGACAGTAGATAGGTAATTAACTCATATATGATAAACGGTGGTTCAAATAGTCAATTATATTCCTCTCTTTCACATTCACACCATCGTGCTTCGATATAAAACCTCTTTGATGCTTCGTTTGGAACATGTTTGTCACTTATGTCTGGTCCTTCTGGCCCATCTTTTATGGTTGTGCCAGCTTTGGCAATAAATTGAAAAAGGAGGGTCATCATGCTTGTAACTTGAGTGTGATGTTAAACCCAAAATTTTATCATCCCCAGACTCTACGTAAAACGTAAATGTAAAATAAAATAAATGGTGGGGGCCATTGACCCATGGTTTGTCTTCAACCTTCATCTTATCTTATTATTATAGTATGTCGACAGAAAAAAGAAAAGAAAAGAAAAGTTTGAACTCAAAGCAGGGTCTCATAATCCTGAATTTTACAAGCATGGTCAAGGAATGAATGAAAAGCCAGAAATCACTTTGATTAAGAAATCTGTACATTTTTTTTCTTCTAAAAAATGCCATACATCATCACATCACATCACACTTTTTCTCTCCATATTCTTCTAAATCTATTTGAAGAAAGTTGTATGTATACAGAAGGTAAGATGACGAAGCAGGAAAAAAAACAAAAACAAAAATAAAAACAAAATGCCGCATTTCCAAAATATTATGATCATACTAATCTAATAAAGAGAAACTCAATTTATGTCTCAAGTGTGTGTTTTCCAGATACCTCTTGACGGAGTGGATTGTGTTATTCTTACAACTCTCTGTCTTGGTTGTTGCTGCGGATGCTTTGTCACATTTTCTTCAGTATTGTTATTTGCCTTCACCACGTCAACTTTCACTATGTGATGATCTGATGTCCCTTTGGAAGAAAGGACTAAATAGGAACCGGGAACAAATTTATACGCAGAATTTGAGGATGATAATATATAGTCTACCCGAGTTCCATACTTACATGTCCCCTGAACACCTGCATAAAATTTACAATTTTATTCATCATATTCATAGTATTAGTAATAATAATAATCATGCTGATCTTTCAAATATCACAAGCTTAACAGATTCAAAACTGTGTTTGTACTTTGGCCTTTGGCAATCATGACAACCGACTCGCATTCCCCTGCATAATCCTTTGCATCTGTGTAGTCTTTACTCTTGAGATATTTCATCACTTCAACCTTTGGTGTTGGCTTTCCCATCTCCTCGTAGTACTGTGGACCCAAATGAACCAAATCAAAAAAAATTGATTTTTTTTTAAAGACCACAAAGAAAAAGCAACAAATAATTGAGGTCCTACATGCATACCTTCACAATATCTGTCCATCTTTCTTGGGAGTAATCCGATTCATCAAGTGAATTAAGGCCTCCAGCTAAGATGTGAGGCTCATCACTAGATTGGATTATTGCATTTATCTGTTTCATCCTCCAATTCTCATCAAGATGATCAAGGTGTGTGCAGTAGAAGTTAAGTTCACCTGCTTGGGGTACATCGATAGTGGCCTTCAAAACATTCCTGTGTCCAAGAAATTAATTACATTTTTTTTCATGTCATACTCATCCTTGTTGTTCAGTCATTCTCTAGCCCCCTAGTTTCAGCCTACAAATAATTCTTGAATCGGTCTAGCTAGGTTGCTTTCACGACATGGATTTCCATTAATATTTCCATAATCATTTTTTTAATAGATGGTCATTAGCAAGAAGTGGCTTTGGAGGAAAGTAACTAACAAAGTTCTTATAATTATGATGAACTTGATCAAGAACAGTATTATGACCAGACAAACTGTACCTCAATTGCATCAGATCAGACAAATTTACACTTCACCAAACATCAGTTATTTTATGCTGCATATGGGGTATGTTTCGTTCAGAAAATTTTATACTATAAAACAAGAAGAAAATGTTGAAGGTTTGTAAAGAAAATTTTAAGAATTGATGTTCCTTAATTAATTGGGATATTTTAATGAGTAATAAATTATGCATCCATAAATTTTTAAAAAGAATTGTGATTGCAGTTCAAAAATAAAATATGAATGTGAAGGGAACATTTATGAGTGATGACAACAGAGAATCCCTAAGGAGTAGGTGGGGATCAATCCTGCCACGCTGAGTACAGCTATTACAGTTGGCATCCATCATTGTTCATTGCCGTTGTCACGTAGAACAAAATAAGGAAAGGATAAAAGACGTGCATAACAGTTTTCAGGATTGATGTTAATACTAAACTTTTTTGGGTAAAGCTAAATGGGAGTTCATTGCTTAAGCATTTGTTCGAACCAGTAGTTATCTTTTCATTGGAAAGTTTTGGAATAATTGATCACTTTACGAGAAGAAAAGCTATTATCTTTTCATTTTTCTTTGCATTGTCAAGCACGAAGAAGCTTCTTTGAAATACATACAAGAGCACTAATCCGAAAGGTGTTATAACTTTATCTCTTTTTTTTTTTTATAAATATTTTGGTGTTGTTCCATTACGGGATTAAAAAAATTAAAGGAGAATACCTGCTACATGTACTACAAGCGAGTCAGACAGCAGGAAATGTACGGTTTAAATTAACAGTAGACTTCAATTATTTTTTTAAATTAATTAAAATGTACTATGTTTAAATATTCAATAACAGATACTATATAATGAAAAGTAATATATAATATAAAATGAAGATATTTGTTTTACAGAAAATTCAAGTGAGTTGAATCAAGACTCAAATAACACTCACACAGGTTTTATAAATTGTCCATCTGGAAGGCTCTCCCATTCCCAATGAAAATGAATCTCACTCCCATTCTCGTAAAATATGAGTATGCTCTTTATCGATTAAACCAAATTTTATTAGTTAAAGAATAATATTTTAATGTCGTTATTTTAAAACCAGGAATGATAAGGTAATTATTAAATAATAAGATAAAAACATGAAATTATTAAACTAGAATATGAAACTGATGTTCCATTGATTTGTTTGAAGAATGAAAACTAGTATGATTTGACTTCCCTGTTGAGTGACCCAAATTAACCTTAACATGAGGAAGAAAGTATGATGTTGGAGGACTAAAAAGGAACCTGAAATCAGTGCGATCAAAGATTTTGTGAGATTTCCAGCGTTTGATGGGCCATTTGGACAAGACAGCATTGCCGTACTCAGGTGCCCAGCTTTCAGCGAAGACATAGTTCATTCCAAGAGCCGCAGCCAAATCAGACAAAGGCTTCATCCCATTCTCTTCCTCAGCCTTCACATCTTGCAACCCCAAAACATCAGCGTTCACTTCCTTCAAAACATCAACCACCGTTCTATTACTCTTACTCACGTGGACCCCACTCCCCCACCCCTCCTTCTCGTGTTCCGAGAAACTCGATTGTCTGCTTCGCAACAAAGATATCTCGTTGTCCGGTAAGTTTATCGAAACCCTCATCTTCGATTTCGCCGACCTCGCTTCCTGTCTCACGCCCACGTTCTCCTCCACTCTCTTCACTGACTGCGATTGCTTCAATATGCTTCTGGGCCGCGCATTCGTCGGCTTCGAAGCGACGCCGTTTTGCTCCTCCGACGCCGCTGCTTTTGGAAGCGCCGCTGCCATGGAGAACAGGGCGGCGTTGAACGTCGCCACCCGAATCGGTTTCGGAGTACCCAATTGCGCTTTGGAATGAACCGTAGCGGAAAAATTCGTGCTTGCTTCGGGTTCGGCTTCTGGGTCCTTCTTCCCGAGCTTGCTGATCACTACTACTTTGGACTTTGAGCGGCGGCGAATTGGCCACCGGAGACGGCGGAGGAGGCGGCGGAGGTTCTTGTTGAGGAGCTTGAGCATTGTGGAAAAGTGGGTGTGGGACAAAAGAGGGTCTTGCCTTGGGGAGATCATAAGATGTGAAGTGAAGTTTGATTGCAGAGTTGTTAGTTTTTAGCTGTGTCTTGTTTAGTGGTTACGTTTGGGAAGGCATGGATTTTGTGTGTGGAAGTGGAAGGACTAGGAGAATAGTGGCTTCGAAGGAAAATGAAGGAACAAAGTGAGTAGTATAAATAAATAAATAATGAGATGGATTAGATTAGGGACTAGTTGAAGGCTTGCTTTGCTTTGTGTTGAGAGTTGAGTAGAGAAAGGGAAGGGGGTGCTTCTAGGAAATGAGTTGGTAGCTTTTGTGAATGAAATCTTAGGAAATGGTAGAATAAGAAAAGTTATTTAGATTTTGAAGAGGATGCCATAAATCATAATTCACTTTCAGCACATAGACAAGAAATAAGAGAGACCGGGGATGCATATGGCTACTGTCACGCTCATTCCAACTGCTACCAGGAAAAAAAGAAAAAAGAAAAAAAAGATGATTGGTTTACTTTTAGTTGTTTAGTGGACACAACACAACACACAAGGGCAATGTTGTTTATGTTTACACATGCAAAACTGGCTGATGTGGTTTAAATTTTATAAATTATCTATTATTCAATGGAGAAAAGCTAAATCTGAATAGCTTAAAACCACAGAAGTGAATTTGATGGCATTGTTGTAAGGCAGGCAATGGTATGCCCCTGTCATTATTTATTATTTTTCTTGTTTGACTAAGACACACAAATAAGAACATTAAGAAAATGAAAAGAAAAAAATAGAAATGGTAATGACAATAAATGAGGCAAGAAGTCGAGTTTGGAACTCCACGTCACAGGAAACCCGGCGTACCCATCTCCCATAAACCTAAACCAAACCAACCTGCCATTAGCAAATAATCAAAGTTATGAGTGTTGACTGAGTGCAGCTGAGACGTGAGTACTTGTTTGTTATGTGATAAAAATCCTCTCCAAAACGAACGTGAGTTGGATTGGGGACCTCAAATAAAGGTGGAATGCCACGCACCTTTTATGTGCTGCTCCCATGTTCCATCATTTTAGAAAAGGGTAATATAGCCTCCTTTCCTTGGTCATATTGTGTGTGTACACTTACAACTACAAGACTTATTTTGGTCAGAATACAAAATTGATTTTTATTTGAATATCCAAAGTTGTAGTGTTACTATTTATGTTTTAATTCTTACACTATTTTTACATTTTGATCATTGTATTTGTAATTTGTACAACCTTTACCTTTAGAATTATTTATTTTAATTTCTATAAGAGCAAAATTTTCATGTTTCTGTTTTCTATAGATATATCAATGCTTTTCGTTTCTCATTCCTCCTCCTTTTAATCTATTATTATTAACTCTAATTCTTTCTCTCTTTTTTCTCGTCATCAACATTCATTTCCTACTTTTACTTTGCAAGCTTTATTTCTTTTAAATTATTTTGCATTAACTAATTCTGATTGAACCTACATTAAATAGTCTCAAGATTGCATAGCTCAAATGCTTTACTTGGTCATCATGATATAACTTGCAAGCAATAACTTATGTTAACGCTCCTTGCATCAGCATTAACTTGCTGCGTCACTTTAAAAATAGTCTTCTAAAATGTACTTTTTATGGTTTATCATTCATCAAAATTCCTTGTGGACGTTCATCCGTCTTATCATTTTTATATTTATACACTATTATTGACTTTGCCAATACGATACGTATCATTTAACGGGATATACATGCTCCACATCTGGTACATAACGATAGTGAAATTAAAGATAAAATATATGAATCATCTTGTTCGACTTTATAAATATTCCTTTTGCGAACGATATTCATTATCTGTGCACAGGTCCACTAATTCTGCACAGAGCTATAATATGGTAATGGCATATATATAAAAAACAATAGAAAATTCAAATAGATTTTCACGCTCAACTATTAGACTTGTATCTGCCTAAATATAATGAATAAAAACAATATGGCAAAACAGGAAGGTCTGTTTCAATATGTACCCTACACGCTTAATGTACAACTGTGGCACTGGCGCAGGAATACATATGTTTGCCATATAATCATAATGTAAAACTAATCATCGCGTACTGTCACTTTCTGCAGAAAAAGAAGATGAGAATAAGAAGCGCGATAGAGAAAGAAATGAGGATTCAGGAGTGACCTCTTCAAATATGTGACCAATTGGCTTTCATAATAGTGTAAAAATGATTTCATAAAATGTGGCATATGGTATCCACTCAATTAGTTAATAATGTGATCTAGCTAGACTTTTTGTATCAAAGGTCAAATCCATGGATTTGGACCATTTGGTATTGGAAGGTAACCGTAAATTGACAATTTAAGATAGACTATTTATTATTCATATTAAAGGTTTGTGACAAAAATCAGGTCTGTAATTAAATAGTCTAGTAACCTAGTGATTCCAAAAAAAATTGTTAAAAAGTACTTATTTCTGCTTTGTTCAGCAATTTTCAGTACTCTTGTTTATCTTTCCTCTTTCTCTCATTAGATCAAATTAAGGAATGATAGTTATACAAGGACCTGTGCTTATGATGTCCTTGGTGATAAAATGATCTGTTTCGAATGTGGTCACTTATTAGGAAACATGAAAATGAGAGGGAGAGTCAATTGAAAGTTCTCTTCGGATTCTGCTTTTTTCACTCCTAATGACTCGTGCCTTGAAACAACCAAGCTAGTTTTTAGAAGGCTTTTGTAATGAACAAGGGTCTACTAACAGAAGTCAAAGATAAACCTGGTTAACACAAATCTACATTCTATAAATAAAAGAATCTTAATGCTACACGGATATTGTATAGAATCAATAATGCATAATAATGCATGCATCATTTTTCAGTTTTACCCAACTCTGTAGAGGTTATGCATTATTATATAGAGAATGTGGTTCAATAGGTATTACCTGCATACAACATATATATTATCGATCGCAAGTGTTTTGAAGCAGCAGTTTCACATAAAATGTTATGAGATTTAAGTATATTTTTGTCTTTCAAATTTAGAGCAATTTTTTTTTTAGTTTCTCAAATTTAAAATAATTTTTTAATAATTTAATTTAATTTTTAAAAAAATTATTTTAATCTCTCGTATTATTAATAACATATATAAAATTGACAATTGAGATAATTATATAACATCAAGAAGATTTAATATTATGTTTTTTACTAATAAATACTAATAGTAAATAAATTTTGTAAGATAATATTTGACTAATTTTTAAACAAAATTAGATATAAGAATTAAAATAAGAATTTTTTAAATTATAGATACAAAAACATTAATTTTAAATTTAAAAGACTTAAAAATAAATTTAAATTAATTTGAAAGAATAAAAATAAATTTAACCATATAACATTAAATGAATTAGAGGGATAGAGGGTCATTGATAGAGAAGCCTAAATGCATATTACGGTCAAGAGTATTTTTACTCCTAAATTAACAAAACTTATCTTCTTCATTTTATGCCTTAAAATTTGAGAAATTTGAAAAGTATTTTTCTGACTTTCATCCGAACAGTCTAATTCGTGGAAAGAGCGCCAGAACTAGTGGCGTAAACGTGTCCCTACTTCCTAAGTAAACTATTGCAGCCATACACTTAAATTTTCATTAGGTTGCATCACATAGTATATGACCAAAACCTTACTAAATATGATCCTTCTGTAATTGTATTTTATTCATGTCATCATGTGTCATGTGAATGTAAAGAATTTGACACGAGTGCGTGGAGTGCAAAGTGCTCTTTGACAAAACTTAATAATTTATTTTAAATTTGCATATATTTTATTTATTAGCAATTATATTACTGCTTGTATTCTTTACACTTTAAAATAATTATATCCATAAATCATAATATGTGACAACTTGAAGGGTACATGGACAGTTATCACAATTTTTATGAATCAACCAATTGATATAAAAAAGGCAAAAAATTACGTCGACAGCAGGGTTCGAACCTGCGCGGGCGAAGCCCAACAGATTTCAAGTCTGTCTCCTTAACCACTCAGACATATCGACTTGTTGATATAGTAAGTTTTTATAAATAATATAACAATACACAAACCCAGTTCATGGCTTAATCACCTGTCAGTTATTTCTAAAAATTGATAAAAAGGATGACAATATAATTTGTTATTTATTATATATTTTTCCGACTTTTTAAACTTATGGAATTATAGTTGTATTATCCAGATAGGGATAAATAGTCAAATACCAATTAAAGGGACATTTTTAAATGAATTGATCGTATTATTATTTTAAATTTTCAACTTCTAATTTTACCTTAATTACATACTTAGTTCCTCTAGTATAGTAATACATGATTTTGTTCCTCACTTCCTCTAATGATTTTTCTCGATATTAATTTTTTAATTGTTATAAATCAACCTCTGTTACTTTCCGTACTTAAAATTCTCATATTATTATGTTTTACTCAAAATAATCATACATTGAATTGATTGAAAGCAAAATATAAAATTCCATTAAAAAAAACACCAAATTTCACCCAAAATTAAAAGAATCTAAATAAATTCCTCATCTTCAAAACCTAATTTCACACCCTATTAAGACCTTTAAATTTTATGAAAAAAATATCACTGATTTTTTTATTTCTAAATTTTAAAATAATTTCATATTCAAGATTCTTAATACATCTCCAAATGTTTAATATGAATATATGTAACGTTAGAACGTAATTTTTGTCTTCCCTGTTTTCCTTGTTTTTCTTATGTTTCCTACTAATAAAAAAATATTTAATTAGAACGCAATATTTTAAAAAGATTATAGATAAAAGAAATGAGTTTAATTTTGATATATTATCCCCCATAAAATATGGTTTTTAAAATAATTATTACAAAAGTCAATAATTTTACCATATATAATAATTTATGATCAAGTGAAAGTGTAAAATTTATTTACACTATTAATACATTATAATTAAATTAAACATAAAATTAACATGAGAAATAGATTTATTTAATTTTAAATTTAAAGAAACTTGATTTACTCAAAAAATTAAAAGACCAAAATCAAATAATATAAATTACACTGGCCAAAATATAATTAAATTTTCTATTTCTTAGAGAAAATTCTTATGTCCTGCAAGAAAGATTTTCTCCCTTCTAACATGGAGCATTCTTCCTTTTAAGAGGAAAAAATCTTTTTTAATTCAAATTCTCTATAATTAAATCACAGAAAATAATCTAATAGTTTAATTTATAGAATAAGAGTGATAAAGTGAGTCAATCTATTATAAAAAAAAAGGGTGATCCAAGTTGACCCCAAACAAAGGATTATCTAGCGGTTTAGATGTGGATTAACCCACCAAAAGATAAAATTATAAATTGATGAGTTGACTCTTATAAAGGCAAAAAAAAAATTATATATATATATAGATAGATTAGGCGGGTTAACCCGCGACAGAACCCTTAATTCGCATACGTGCTAGAAGAAAATAATAACAAGTAGATACTGAAGATGAAGACGCGTGACTCCAATAACTAGGTGAGTAAAAGCATCATGAAAATAAGAAAATGAAAGGCCAAGATGGAAAATCTAAAACCTGAATTCAATTGTACCCCTTAGCATGTAAAGATAGAAGACCTGAAATCATCCAAGTTACTCTATTATATAAAAACTCATTGTGCTGATTTATGTTTCCAAATATAAAAGCATAAAGGGTCTTTACACTCTCAACTGTCTCTAAGGACAGTTCTTTCTTTCTCTATTCTGTTTTTCTTTCTTGTTTATTTCCTTTTGCTTTTGGAAGGGAAGGGGGAAACACATGATGTACTTCTTTACGATTCCCATCCATTCAGGAAAGTCTATACTGTCTCTAATGGCGAGCAAATCTAGCATGAATCCTACGTTGGATTGGGGTCCTACATGAAGGGCAGTCCTTCATCCCTTGCTTCTCATGGAGCTCATTGCATTCAGGACACACAACCTGATGTTTACATGGCAGAAAAACTACTTTCTCTATTCTGTTTTTCTTTCTTGTTTATTTCCTTTTGCTTTTGGAAGGGAAGGGGGAAACACATGATGTACTTCTTTACGATTCCCATCCATTCAGGAAAGTCTATACTGTCTCTAATGGCGAGCAAATCTAGCATGAATCCTACGTTGGATTGGGGTCCTACATGAAGGGCAGTCCTTCATCCCTTGCTTCTCATGGAGCTCATTGCATTCAGGACACACAACCTGATGTTTACATGGCAGAAAAACTACTGACATCTCCTCTGATAGGCACATGACACACTCCTGCTCCTGCCTCAAACTTCTAGCAGCCACTTTGTCTTGGCAACTCACCACTGTTTGGGACGTATCAGATGTCTTAATTCCCTTCATGTTTGGAGTACTCTTGCTGGTTCTTGAGAAACTATCATTCCTTTCTTCAACACACCTACGAAGTGCAGCTATCTTTTCAGAATCAGATTTTAGTTTCAAGTCAACCAACTCTTTCTCTAGCTTTCCAATATCTTCCACATATTTCTGCAGATCAGTAGCTGCCTTCTTTCTAATCATATCCTCCTCAGATTTCATGCGCTGTTCAAGTTGTTCTCTCACCTTTTTAATGGATGCAACCTGTGCAAGTAGCTTTTCTTTCGCAGCTCTCTCTTTTGCCAATCTACCCTGTAACATTTCCACCAATTATAGTACAGAAGTAGGCATTATAAGATGCTTGAGAACCAATTTTAAACAACGAGACCAGAACAGAAAAACTATTATTTAAACAAGGTACTTGTATATGTATGTACACAAACACACGGGAGATATATTTATTGAGAAGGCTATTTTAATACAAGGGGAGCAAATTTAGCCATAAAATTATCATAGACAGTAAGATTAAAAGATACCAAGTCACATGCGACATTACCACTTAAACAGTCATATAACTTTGTATTTTAATCTTGATCATTCATGGTAAGATTTAGTGATTAATATTGTCTCTGACTCATGTATAAACTAGCCCTCTTATTTAATACATCTCCTATTTGTATGCACACACACGCATACCAAAAAATGCAAAAGAAGGCTTGTGTGGTAGATTATAGACGGTTCACTTATCCTTTGAACAAATCAAAAGGAATTCAAAGCACTGGTTGAATTCATTTTAATAGATTGAGAATTAATAAGATGAAAGCAACAATTTATGGTGATTTACAATTAGTACTTTTCAACAGAAGACTGAAGGAACATCATTCAGATAGCACAAATTAGCATCTCTCCCATGTTGCCAGTATATGGTTATAACTGTCAACCTCGAACCTCCTATATGTAAATTAAAAAAATTATTTATTTTAAAGTGTTTGGAAGGTCAAACTTAAGTATCTATGTGTTCAAGGTGCTTATATGCATGTCCAACATGTCCAACAGTGGGCGTATAAGATTTAGTGTAAGACTGCCAGAGCAGAGATCATCAAAAGGCAAAGACGCTCAAGATAGATGTTGAAAATTTATAAAAGTAAAATCCACATATTATACACTAAACATATCTTGATATTATTTGTCATCAAGTAGTCACTTATTTGTCACTTACCTCAACCTTGGCTTGAAGATTCTTCTCTTTGTGTAGCTCCTGTTGCAGATTAAATAATTTGTGCTTCTCTCTCTCAAGCTCATCTCGAAGCAAACTGTTCTGGCTTTCCCATGCCTGGGCCTGTTTAAGAGCCAGCTGCTCTCTCTCCAGTGCTTGTTGATGGCTTGTCATTGACTTTACAACCCACAACTTAGCAGCATCCAGCTCCTTCTTTAGCAAGGAGTTTTCTGTCTCTAGCACAAGAGTAGTAGAAGCCGCACCCTCAATTTGCCTTTTAGTATTTTCCATGGCATTCTCCATCTCAGATATCCTCTTCACAGCATTCTCCTCCACAATTTTCTTATCTTTTTTCAACAGTTCAACATCTTGCTTCTCCTTCCTAAGAGTTTTAAACTCACCCTGTAGTTTGCAAAGCTTATTGGTAACCTGCATAACTTTCTGGTTTGTCCAGTTGTTCCAGCCTTTTAGCTCATTCTGCAATTCTTGCACTCGAGATATTAACTTCAAAATTAGCCCATCCTTCTCATCTCGCGGGACATACTTACCCAAAGCCTCATCAAAAGGAATGCCAGCGCAGTAATCCAGAATTTTGACAGAAAAGCTTAGATCAGATTTTGGTTTGGACGTATTGCCTGTTGTTGAAGTATTTGCATTCACCATGGGAGAAGTAGATATTGTATCCTTTGCAGGTAATGTTCCAGAGCTATTTCGTGCAGGTAAAGCAGATGCATCATTGATTGAAACATGGCACATTACATCAGTTGAATGAACTCCTTTTGTGCTTATCATATTTGAGGAGACAGATTTCATTTGCTGATTAGGAATTTCAGATGGTGGCTTCAGTCTTTTTTCAACAACCAAACCACCAACACTTGCAATCTTCCCTGATTTAAAACCCCCTTTTCCACAAGTCCTGTAAGTTTTCTCCATGTGAAGGAATTTCTGCCTAAGTGCTGATATTTCTTTTCTGTTATGTCGCTTAGAACAAGATCCTTTACATTCATGAGGAGGAATCCCTGGAGTTCCAGAGGACTTCTCTGCATTAATTGACAATGAAACATTCTCCGCCTTAAGTTTTACACCTCCTGAAGCATGAGGATTTTGATTCTTGGGTGGATTAAGGAAACTTCCAAACTTAGGTTCTTCAAACTTCTGATTCTGGTGATTGGCAGACAAGTCCTTCTGGAAAGTTGGTGAACTGCAATTTGAATTAATATCAGAGCTTCGGACCTCTGACTTAGATTGGGGAACGGAAGAACTGACAGTGTTTTCCCCATTACAAACAACAGTTGGACGATCTTCCACTGCACAGGCCAGTGAAAGGTTCAAGTCGCATATCAGCAAAAGCCACATTGCTTCACCAACAGTCAAGGAGGGTCTGACTTCACGAACTACACTGATCATCTCCACCATAGTGTAATGCAGCAAGTGCTGAAATTTATCAAATACAAAATCTGTAATAATTTCATCTTTCCCCTTCAAAACATTCACCGTCTCACGTACAATATTTGAGACAGGGTCTCCTTCCTCCATGTATAGGGCCTTCCTAGAAAGGGACATCTCGACCAATTTTTCATCAAAGCCTAATTCAACAACCTGCTTAAGTGCACCATGGAAAATTGCTTGCAAATTGGACAACAGTAATTCCTCAAGCTGGCTTGCAATAGGATCATTCCAATCCACAAGCTCGTGCATATACAGTTCAGGTTCTTCATCTTTAAACAAATCTGGCCACAACACTGATGAACTAAATTCATTTAAGCCATTTTGTGAATCAGATAATTCATACCGAGGGAACTCAGTCAGAGAGGATGGAAAACTAGCAGGAAGTATAGAAGGATGAGTTAATTTTCTCTTGTTCTTACACCCTTTATCCTGTCTGTCCTCGCCATCAGCCGTTTTATCCATTTCAGCAACAAGTACACTGAAACCCACAAAACCTTTGCCTATCAAATCTCTATCTACAATTAAACAAACCATAGGTTCAAAAACACGCATGAATGGGGGATTAAGAAATTGGTCATGAGGTTGGGCGAGGGGGAATTCAAAGAAAACATTAACACAATAAAATTGGGAACGAAATCCACGCAAAATCAACACCAACTCAAACAGAACCCTTTGAATAACATCAAATGGTCATTAGAAATTAAAAATTAATAAATTTCACTTTCGCATGAAAAACAAAAAAAAAAATGGACTCCAATCTAACAAGAGAAGGACAAGAAAAGCATACCTTGGCCAAGAACCGCAAGACTGAGAGCAAAATGAGGAATTTCCTGTGTCTGAAACTCGGAAATCAGAACTTGTTAGAAATGAAAGTCTTTTAAACAAACAGTTTGTGTGCAAAGGCTATATAGTCAAAGCTGAGACGGTGAATGGAAGGCAAGTGCAGGCACATGCCAATAAAACACTGACAACCCATCACAGGAAAAACATAACCGATGCAAGAAAAACCATCCAAACAAGGCACACAGAAATGGGTCATTGAAGACAGTAAAAAAAAAGTCAAAAAGAAGTTAAATTTGGAATGGGCATGGGAAGGAAATGTACCTGACGCACGCATTGTTTCCATGGGAACGTTACAGAGGCGGAAATTAATTTAGGTTGGGGAGTGTGAGTGTGAGTGTGAGTGTGAGTGAGTGTGATGCTTATACTGTGTCTGTGGAGTGTAGAGTGAGTGAACACTTGTCCTGTGTTTTGGGGTTCTGGGTTTTGGAATGATGCTCTTTTATGCGTAATAATAATAATAAGCGGCTATTGCTATTGCTAACTACTTAAGCTTGCTTACAGTTAAGTGTTAACCCAATTCCTCTTTTATACCCAACCCACCCTAGGTCTAGCAATAGGAATACTATTCACCTACCCCTTCTTCAAATTAGATTATTAAAACCTTTTAATTACTTTTGACTTTACAATGTTATAATTTATAAATAATTTTATAATATCATATTATTTTATTTATTATAAATTGATATTAAATCATTGACTTTTATAATAATTAATTTAAAAGCGATATCAACCATTGAAAAAAAAAAGAAAATTTATATTGAAAGTAAATAGTTATTAAATTTTCCTTTTTAAATATAAAATGAGTAAATATTAAATAAAATTAAATGAATTTTTGTAAAGTAGAAAATTAATGAAAAGTTTTTATGAAAATATGTAATTCATATAATTTCAAGAATGCATTTAATTTAATACTGCAATTAATATCATTTACATTTTTTCCGAGACTTTAAATTGAGCTCTCACTAATACAAATCAAATTAAGTGAACTTATTTACAGGAATAAAACTCACCTATTTTTTATTTATATTATAAGAATTTTACATTTTATTTTAAAAAAATACTTTCCCCGGCACTTAACCAAACAATCTTTATTAATAAGGTGTGACATAGTTGGTATATCATCTTGTATTTTAAGTATATAGTCTAAAGTTTAATATTTTTTCAATGTGTATGAAAAAAAATGAGAGAGGTCCTTAACTTTTAACCAGGGATACTTTGATTTATCAAAAAGAAACAATCTTAGTATTCTTAAAAAAAATTATATATTTTGAAATGAATTATTAAATAATTCTTAATTTTTTATTCATCTATAAACTATATAAATTTATAGTAATTCTTACATATCGTCCAATCAATTGAACTAGACTCTTATTAAGTCTTTAATATTTAATGTAATTTATGGTAATGACTTAAATGATTCGCCTATTATTTATGATTTGTATAAATAATTAAATATATTTTTCAGTTTTTAAACCTTTATTTTCTTTCTCTCTTTATTTCAAATATTTAATGCTAACTCGAATAGATTAGGATCCTATTTCCTATGTGGCTACAATTAAAAATTTAAGATCCATTATAACATTTAGCATGAATTCAAATAAGCAAATTATTTTATCTTTTTAAATGAGTTTATGAATGTCACAATTTTAAACAACTCATATTTTTCACTTCAATACAAGTTTTTATCAATAAGTTGCTTAGTTCACAAATATTTTTTTCTTTTCTTGGGTACCTCATATTTTATCTCTTAAATGTACACACAAATGTTTAACAATTCATGTGGAATAGTTATTTATATAAACAATTCTCTCTAATTTTAAGTGTCACAAATCACATAAAACAAATAAAAATAATATTTAATTATTAAATAATTTTCATTAGAAATGCTCTTACTAATCTGAAAAATACACATTCCCTCCAATTCATTATTTTATTTTATTTTTATGTTTTAGACTCTTTTGTTCCATTTATTTTTATGTTCTACACATTTTAAATAATGTTAATTAACATTATTTGTATATACCCCTACTTAATAATTGTTATTCCAATTTCATCATGTTCTTGTTAAAGTTATTAAATGATAATATTTTAAATTTAATATACTAATATTAAATACTACCCCAATCTTAATTATAAACAATATATGACAAATTATAAAGATCAAGAAAAATAGATCATTTAGTTATTTTTTATTAATTCTACAATAGACTTAATTTTTATCTCAAATATGCCATTTGTTTTAAGTGATTGTTATATTTAATGTCAATGTTCATAATCCAACGAATATAGGAAGTAAATGCATGCATGGGAAATAAAGATTACAATAAATTAAGGGCATAAAAAATTACCCCTAATAACTTTAAAAATTGTAAATTATTGCTTATAATTAAGACTAGAGCTAGTTTTTAAAAAATGTGCAAAAACCTTAAACAATATATATATATATATATATACACACACATATGCACACTGAAGAAAGTATTATAGACATTCTTTTGAAATAAATAATTTAAATACATATAATAGAAATAAATGAAACTAAGTAAATGATCATCCCTCAAGAATTATTAGAGTTGGTCTGAAAATATATTGAGATTGTATGCACAAAATGTTAAATATAAATATTAGTATCATTGCTGTAATATTTTCTATAAATGTCATCCCTAAGAATATAACTTAACTTTTACCTGAATTTGGATTTTATTATTATTATTATTATTATTATTATTATTTATTTCTTTTAAAGATATTATTATTATTATTATTATTATTATTATTATTATTATTATAATAGTAGTTTTTTATTGGTAAAAAATTGTCACCCTTAGGAATATAAGTCTACCTTCACCTAAATTTGGGCTCTTTTTTATTGTTGTTGTAATTATAATTGGTGTTTTTATTATTAAGCTAAATTACACTTTAGTCTTTTATTTTATTTTTTATATTTAGTTTAATTTTTTATCTTTTTGAAAAAGTCAATTCAGTCCTTTATGTCTATAAAACAATTCAAAATGGTCCTTTTAATCAAGTCCCTAATAGTCAGTGTCAAAAAGTTTGAGTTGACGGGTAAAATTACACATTGACATGGATTTTAATATTATGAAAAATCAAATTGAACCTTATTAAAAATATGAAGAACCATATTGAATTTATTTAAAAACATAAAGAATCAAATTGAACAATATTTGAAAAGATAAATGATGAAAATATAATTATATATTAGCATGATTTCATAAAGTGGTATTGAAAATGAATTATATATTACTTTGTGAAGTTAAAGTTTATGTGGCAACAACCACATTACAAATTAAGTTCTATTTGTTAAAGTCACTAAAAAAGCAACTACTTCAAATCAATTCACAAAAAAAAATGCATATCCTATCAGATGGATAAAATTAGTCTAAACAAAAGTTGGACAAAGAATTTACAAAATAAAATTAGAGACTTTGGTACCTTGTTGGTTTGATTCTCTTCTCCTTAAGTGTAATCAGTTGTATTTGACGTGGTGCATGAAGTTGAGTTAATGCAGCTGGTGGTTTTTAGGTTCAATTTGATTTTTTATGATTACAAATAGGTCTATTTGGGTTAGGATGTCAACAAGACGGATACAGGTAGTAGTTTTTATTACTTGTTCCATCAAATAAATATTCGTTATATACCTGTCTTTATATTTATGTGGTTATTTATTAAGTAGGTATTTATATATTTTTTTAATATTTGTAGATATATATATATATATATATATATATGAATATTTATTTTAAAAAATTATTTTATAAAAATATTTTAAGAATAATTTTTATTTATTCTAATAATTTCTTTAAAAATAATAGTTTAAAAGTCAAAACTTAAATTATTCATATATTATACATAATTTTATTAATCAAGATTCTTTGATTTTAAAACTAAATTTAATTTTTAAAGTACTTTATTCTCATAAATTTATATAAATTTAATATGTCATTATGTAATTAATATTAGTGAATACTCGTGGATACAAATACTATGATACCTATATCTAAGTTGTTAACATGGGAGTATAGAAAATATTTGTATCTACCGTAACAATGATAATTTATGGATTTTTATATTGATTTTTTGAAAATGTTGTTTAGGCGTTAGTCATTGTTGAGAATCTTGGGTCAAGGGACCTTGAGAGCAAATTGGTTTTTGGAAGGTTGGATCAGAGATAAGTAGAGTCAACTCAATGTATAAAAGGTAGTTTTTAAGTTGTGAGCTTCATAATTTAAAATTTCAAAACTGTAGAAAGAAGCTAAAGAGAAAGTGATCTCCTTTTTCCTTCTTCATTCTCCCTTCTCATTAAGAAATCTTCCTTTTCTTCTATTTCCCAACTAATTCTAGTCAGTGGTGGTGAAGATTCAAACTTCTGAGGTTTGAATTTCAAGTTAATGGTGTGCGAAGTCATCTTCTTCCCCTTATCCTCTTATGGATTTGATTCTCCAAGAGGTGAGGGAAGCTTGTGTCATCATGGGTTACATGTTACATCATGTTGTTTCAACCTCATATAGTTGTTGAGTCCTAAATTTTGAATGAAGAGGTAGTGATGAGTTGTAGAGTCTTTGGTTCTTAATGGTGCCTTGTGAGAATTTTGTGATTTTAGGGTGATCCATGGTTGTATATTGTTTTTAATGATGAAATCATGTTGTATATGCTATATAAATGTTTTATTATGCAATGCATATTGTTGAGATTTTTGAATTTCAAGTGGAATTGTCAAAATCAGCTTCTGCACAAGTACAAAATTTGATATCACATTAGGCATGCCTTCAAGGTACCGAGTGTGACTCCAAAGAGAGGTCTTTGTCTCACTTATGTCGAGCAGAGAATCATGGCATCAGACATGAGGATAGAGAATTATCTTGGGTTGGAATCACGTTGGATGTGAGTTGAACAACATCAGGCGTGAGAAAAGAGACTCGTCTCTGTTTAGATTCTCGTTGAGGGCTAATGTGTTCCACTGGGCATGAATCATGTAGATAGCCCTTTGCTTGAATGGAATCAGGTGTGGATGTTTCCATGCTAGGCACGAGAATATGGGAGACTCTTTGCCTCAATCATGTTAGGTGTAGATGGTTTTGCGCCAGGCATGAATGAGATAAAGAGCTCTCTATCTTAATGCTTAATGGTGTCGAGCGCCTAATGAGTGACATCAAAATTCAAACATGAGTTGCATGAAGAAAAGTTGTTGTTTAAGTTGTTTCAATAGTTAAACGATGCTCAATAAATTGTATGGATGATGATACATGATAGAAAATCTATGTGTGGTAAGTTGTGAGTTGATATATGATCAGGTTGTAAAAGTTACATGTGTTGAGTTATTTAAAGTTGATACGTTGTTAAGCTATCAAGCATGTGGTTGAGATACATATCCTGTGTAAAGACACATAAAAACTAGAGGAGAGTAAGTGATGACTTCAAAAACTAATAAATATCCCATTATCATTATGGGAATATG